CCCAGCCCCCCTGTTCTAACCCACCAGCCCCCACTCCCCTCCCAGAGCTGGGGAGAGAACCCAGGAGTCCTGTCCCGCCCCCCCCCCCCCACTCACGTGATATGGTTTCTCGCCCGTGTGGATCCGGATGTGGCTCTTGAGTGTCTGTAGGTGCCGGAAGCGGGTCCCGCACGTCTCGCAAGGGTAGGGCTTTTCACCCGTGTGGATCAACACGTGGGCCCGGAGGTGGGCGACCTGCGGGGGGGGGAGACGGAGAACGTGATCGGATTCCAGGGGGCTGCAGTACCTGGCCTGGCCACTAGGGAGGCCTGCTTCCCATTGGACTCTATGGGAACCAGGGGCTGCAGATCCCACTGTTACCACCATTAGATGTTGGCCCTTATTGATTGCCTGAGTTTCTCTCCCCCTCCTTGCCCCAAGCCAACCCTTCACAGCCCCCCATCTCTCCACCCAACTCCCACAGAGCGTACCCCATGCCCTCCCGCCCCCCGCCCGCACCTGCACGAAGCTGGAGCCGCAGGTCTCACACTTGTAGGGCTTTTCCCCTGAGTGGATCCGTGAGTGGGTTTTGAGGTTCGCCGGCCGGTTGAACTGGGCCCCGCAGACTCCACAGCGGTACGGCTTCTCACCTGGGGGGTGGGGGGAGACAGGGGGCAGCTAGGGGGCGGCACAGCCCCCCACCGTTCTCCTGTTCCGCACAGCCTCCCGTCCCCTCCCACTGACCCCTCTCACAATCCCCTGACCCCCTTCCTGTCCCCTCTTTGGCCCCTCCCACCTCCCTTCTGACCCCTCTCCATGAGCCCTCCAACTGCCCCTGACCACTCCTACCTCCCCTGGACCCCTCCCTCTGATCCCTTCCTGACTCCACCCACCTCCCCTGTTCCTCCCACCTCCCATTGACCCCTCCCCCTGATCGCTTCCTGACTCCACCCACCTCCCCTGTTCCTCCCACCTCCCATTGACCCCTCCCCCTGATCGCTTCCTGACTCCACCCACCTCCCCTGGTTCTCCCGCCTCCCATTGACCCCTCCCCCCGATCGCTCCCTGACTCCACCCACCTCC